AACGCGAGTACCCTGAATGGCACTCTTGACTGAACGAGAGTGCGCTGAGTGGCAACCTTGACTAAACGCGAGTACCCTGAATGGCACTCTTGACTGAACGAAAGTGCGCTGAGTGGCAACCTTGACTGAACGGGAATACCCTGAATGGCACTCTTGACTGAACGGCACTCCGCGGACGGACACTCCTAACTGAACGACACTCAGGGAGCTAGAATGGTTTTTGAACTAGGGTGGGAGTGAAAAATTCCATCGCAAAAAGACCGTGCAGGAGTGAAAAAGATAAATTCACAAATGATGAAACTTATGAGCTCTTTGAGAACCTATGAGATGTCTTTGTTTGCTGAAGCATCAGTGATGGGGTTCTTGGGCTTGGAGGTACCTGGCGCCCTTGCTCTGTGCGTATATAGACATGATTCAGATGTTGGTGAGGCAGGGCATAGCCATAGCCATAGCCATAGCATAGGCTCCAGGTTCTGTGGAGCCTCGTTTATGCTTTGTGGTTTCAAGTGAGCTCGGTTTTGGATGACATGTGAAAACCTCAGAAAGGGAAATAGGGGTTTGGCATGTGCGATTAGACAATGTCAGGCAGGAGTGAAAAATTCACATAAAATATGGGGAAAATGAGTGAAAAATTTCTCCTCATAGGGTGTTGCTTTACACCCAAAGTCGGCAATTCTAGAACACTGACGACACTCCGCCGAGGTACCCTAGCCTTCTGCCCGCGTGGAACGCTGCTACGCTCACCGGGCCCATTCTCCTCGTATGTCCGTCGAGCGTCGGTGGCGACGGACTAATGAAGGTTGACGGCCCCGCCGACCAAGTCCTCCTCGCACCACACCCCGCAGCGAGCACGTCCCGGGGGCGCGGGGACGAAGCCAATCGTGTGGGACAGGCCAGCCCGGCCACCGCCACCGCCGGCTGCGGCGTCCGGCGCCGTCAAAGACCGATTGCAGCATGGACCGGTGTCCGGCATGTTGTCCAGCGGTAAGAGACTCTTCCGTGACGATCTGGGCGTAGCGTTGGCGAGCATCTCCTGCTGTCGTCTGGTTGAGGCGCGCAGACAGTGCGACAGTGCCCGTACACTCAGCGTCGGCGACCGGACACTCAGCGTCGTCACCGTTCCCTGGTGCCGGGTTCTTAAGTCGGCGCTGCCTCATTTGCATCTACCTTTGCATCGGGCCTGCAAGGATGCAGGCCCGACGGGCGGCGGCTCTCTTCAGCAACGAGCTACACAGTGGACGTCTCGATCTTCGGGAACGAGCTGCACTGCGAGCGTGTCGACATCCCGTGGCGAGTAGGTTCTGTGAAGTGCTCCACTTGCTGTCTGCCTTGGGAGGTCGCAGTGGCGTTCAGGACCGGGCGCATCGCTTGGCGGTGGAGATTGTGACACACACGCTGCGGGCTCTCTTCCCCGTCGCTTGTATTCGGCTGGTGCTGCACCCACACCCTGATCGCTGTGGACTTCCGTTGCGCCGAGTGACTGCAGGACCGATTTCGTCCAGGAGGCTCTCCGAGGCTTGACAAGATACCTCTGACGGAGGTGCCTCCAACGCCTCCGTTGTTGTCACTGGGGCTTTACGACACACTCAGCAGCGGAGGCTCTATGGCGTCGCCTGCCTCTCACTCTGGCAGGCGGGGAGGGCACCATGGGGAATCAACTCCCGTATCTCTGGTTTTCCAGTAAGACTCCGTCCCTCACTCCAGGAAGTCTGTCCGGTGCCCGGTACCTTTCTGCAGGTGGCTCCGGTCGCCGTCGCCGGGCGGACAGCGGGCACTGACCCCCCCCCCCTCCCCCCCCCCCAACCCACCGGGAGCACTGCCCATGCAGGCTGACGGTAGCGACGAGTCGTTGCCGTCAGCAACGACTCGTCGGCAGGCTGTGCGCTGGCCGACAAGTCCGGACGGTCGGCGGAAGACAGGTCTACGGGTGGCTCGCTCACGGTGGTCAAGATGACGTCATTGCGGCCAGAATGACGTCACGGCGGTAAGGATGACGTTACGGCGGTCAGAGTGGCGTTACGATGGTCGGATGACGTCGCGGTTGTCAGGATGACGTTATGGCGATTACAGTGACTTCGCGGCGGCCAGGATGACGTCACGGTGGTCCGTATTACGTTACGGTGGTCAGGAAGACGTTATGGCGGTCAAAGTGACATCACAGTGCCAGGATAACGTTACTCTGACGAGGATAATGTCGGGTAGCCATGCCACGTCTTCTCTGAACCTGATGACACGAGTCTGAGGGTCAGATGTCTTCAGTGATGTCAGTCATGCAGGGTCCCGGTGTCTTCCCGCAGCCGGCCGTCCATGCTGTAAGCGACGTGGGCGCGCCAGGTATGCTGTCCAGCGGCTGTTGGTCCACCTCCTGAGTCTGCAGCGGATCGTCAGAAGCCTCTTCTGACTCGCCGACAGGCAGCCGCGGGTCAGACGACCTCGGTCAGCCGCCGCCATCAGTGGCAACGGCTAGTGGTCTGCGCTGGGCTGCCGCGTTCCTCCCGGCCCGTGCCCCGTCCTTGCTTCGCTGCAGCGGCAGACCGCTGGCGCGCCGCGTCCTTCAGGGGCCCGTCGGACGCCGAACCTGCCTGTTGTGACCGGCGGCGTGCTCCCGCAGTGCCTCCCGCCGGACGGCGGCGCGGCGCCGGCCGCGGTGGCGCGTGCCGGCCGCACGGGCGCGTTTCCTGCCCCCCCCCCCCTCCCTCCAGGGGGCGTCCGCGCGTGCGAGGAAGCACCTGACGCCGCCAGGGGTCTCCTGGGAACTCGCTGTGTCGTATGTCGCCTCCCCCTGAGGCTGTCGTACCGCGGCAGGCGAGGCCACACTGTAATACATTACCTGCCTACCATTTTGATATGTATATTGGTTGTTGTGTTCATATGTTACGTGTTTGAAATTCGTTGCAGCTGAAAATCTCCTTTTTAGAAGCATGCCTCTTATGATTATTTTTGGTAGCCCCGATCACGACCAGGCGTATGTTTGTGGTGCGTTCGACAGCAATGCACTTCACATGTTGTTGTCGGAAATCATGGATAATCACATCCGACAAAAATAACATCGCATTAATGCACAATAACTCATTGCTCTGGAAATAAATCCTGTTTAGCTGAGGTCGCATGTTCAGCGCTGTCGCGTGTTTTTTTCCGACTTTCGAACACAACTCTCCGTGCACAGCTGCCTGCTTTGCCGTTACGTCCGTGGCCGAGGGTTTGAGCCCCCAGTGCAGACCACATCTCCGTTACCAGATATGTATCGTACCGCGACCAGCTGGCTGGATGTGTTTACCTGCCTTCGATAGCCCCGAACCGCTGCTGAGGACCCAGACGCGCCGCCCGGCACCTCGCCAGCGAGCGTTCGGCTCGGTGTCGTTTTGATGTGACCGGTGTTGCGAGAGGTCCGCGCTGGGCGGCCCGACACCGCGAGAGGATGTGCCCTCCCGCCCCCCCCGCCGCCCCGCCCCGCTCCCCCAGAGGTCCGCGCTGGACGGCCCGACACCGCGAGCAGATGCGCCCCCCCCCCCCCCCCCCCCGCCGCCCCGCCCCGCTCCCCCAGAGGTCCGCGCTGGACGGCACGACACCGCGAGCAGATGCGCCCCCCCCCCCACCGCCCCGCTCCCCGAGAGGTCCGCGCTGGACGGCCCCGACACCGCGAGCGGATGCCCCACCCCCCCCCCCCCCGCTTCCCCGACGCTCGCATCCGGGGCACTTCTGCCAGGAAGATCGTTTGGATTTTGGCATGTTTGCCCTCGGCCTGGTGACGAAATCAAATGTTGCGAATGTGGCCTGGAGTAACGTTTCGTAACAGGTTAAAGGAGGCTAGCTAAATGTACTGATGATATGTGCAGCCTAATTGCGTTTACGGAATGCCATGAGGAGCGGAAACATCAATGGCTGAAGGTTTTCCGTGACTATATTTTCTGGAGTGAAATAAGCATTGCCGTGCAGTCAAAGCATTGCCTGGAGTGAAATAAACATCTTGTCGCGGATCACTTCAATAATCAAATATTACTACATACATTTTGAAGAGCAGACAAAAGGCAACTGAAATGATAAGAATCTTCCATCGAAACCAGCAGAGCCCATATATCAAGACAACTTCACAGCCGTGATATTTGCATTTGCTAACAGAGTGAATGCAACCGTTTGCTAAGTTAGTCGCGGATACTGTGGGTCCTCACATGAGCATGGCCTGGAAGACGTGTGGTTGTTGGAAGCCTACGAAACGTACCTGCAATATTAGGTTCAGAGGAATGATTCTTGTGATCGTGAAATGGAAGTGATAGCAAGCGTTGTAAATAGTAAATGGCACGCTGCCGAGAGGCCTTCACCAATGCATGTCACCACCGCAGTGATTGCTATGCACGCCAGGCAGAGGCCATCGTTGACATGCCAAATATTTTTCGATGCAAGGAAATCTTGACCGAAGAATCAAACGAAATTCGCGAGATTGTCGAGCAACTGAAGTCAAGCGCGACGCACCAAGATACACGAATCCAATGTTTCGCGACTGGCTTTCGATCAGAGCGTATTTCCGCAACGTTTCGCCACCCACGCTTTTCATTTCAAAGAACACCAGCGCTGCACGACGACTGTCGCGCTCACTCAGGGCACGCGGGCCTCAGGATTATCGAAGCTATTGGCTTTGCAATGCATTGTAATGCAATCTCGCGAGACGCGGCGTGTGGCACGCGCATCCGGCCCGGCGCTGTGTCGCTGCGTCCGCGTGGGAGAAATCCCAGGATTGCTTCCAAGAACGATGGGATCGGATCGGGAGGTTGGGGGCGGGGCAGAGGGGAGTGCTGTAATGTGTGCTCTGTGGGGATGGCGCAGCGATGAAGTGTGGTCTCGCTTACATGCATACGAATTCATCTTACCCACATACTAAAATGCGGGAACGGCTTTTAGCGGTGCTAACTGAAGCCTTCTTGCATCCTTTTGCGCATTTTAGATGAACAATGTTCGGCAATAAATACAAAGGGAATTATTCATCTCAACACAGTTGCACCTACTTGAAGTCAGGGAAGTCTGCCGCTTGGTTCCAGGCCGCTTGAATGAACTCCTTGTGACCGGCAATTTGGCTGGTAACGACGTACAGCCGGTGCCAGTTGTAGCGCACCAGGATCGACAACATGGCGCCCACCTGCTGTTGGATGGTCGGCGCCATTTGCAGCTGCAGCGGCGCCTGCGAACCCGACTGTAAACACAGCCAAACGTGGCCGCTGACGTCACTTGCATAACTGGACGCAGGTGGTGGTGTTACGTACGCGACAAAGCCGGTACATATGCATAATGTTGCAACTACTAACGTCATATTTGCAGCAGACTGCAGCTTCATGACTTCACATACACAGTCAGACACGACAAATGACCTTAGAGACACTAGCAAAGGCTTCCAATGTACTCAAAAGATGCTGCGGAACGTAAAATTATCTGCTTGCAGATAGTGTGCTGCTTGTATCTCGTGAAAGTATTCAGTTAGCAGCGAAGAAATATCAACGAAAATCTTGTCGGGTGGGATCTCCCTTGGCTACGAACTTCATAGAGCCAATTACACGTTATATACAAATCTAATCAAGCATACTTTGACCAAATGGGAAGTTTGCGTGAGTTATAAAAACATCTCCCATCAACGTTTCATTTTCCCAGAAGCAACATAATCATTGTCTGTTGACTTCCTTTAAAAACTTTTCCCGACGCATACCGAGTGGAAGGCCGATATATAGCAAGGCTGCACCGCTGAAAACACGTCTTATGTAATCAGAAAATCTGCATAAAAACCTCCTTCACTTGCTCTTGGGCCAACGTGTTTATCCTCCTTCCATGATTATCTTCTTTTGATATGACAGCTGTTTTTTATGAAAATATTCCCTTTTACGTACACTCATGTTCAGCGATATAATATCCTATCCTTTTTTGTCCACGATGAACGGTCCTACACCCCCCAGGCGTGTAGGACCATTCATTGCGGACAAACGTTAAACGACAATCTATAGCAGGCTGCGTTTCGATAAGCGTGAAGACACCTGTGATTCTGAAGTAAATGACCTGACCACCATATAGATCGGTAACCGCCATGTTGATGTTCCCACGCGGGTCACGGGAAATAGGTTACGTGATAGAAGCTGTTTGCCCACGCTCTGACTGCACTGCAATAATATTTGAGCCGATATAGGTGACAGCTTTAGCCCTTTGGACCTTGCCAATTCATCAGGTGGCATGTCAATGCATGACACTAATAACCGCCCTAAGCTACGCCTTGATAACGTCATGGGGTCGATCTGCTATACGACGCTCGGCGTATTTTATATAACTTTGTTGTTACGCAGTAACACCCAATCAAATGCATTGGCTTGTTAATATGTAAATGCAGAAAGTTATCCGGGAGGCATTTTTCGCCCCATAAGGAGTAAAATGTTCCAAATTGAGACGCTTTTCAACATCCTGCGACGGACTATGCCCCGCCCTCCTGGATCTGTCTTTGTGGATTATTAGGGACTGCGTGCAAACGACATCATTTTACTGCAGTGCTTATTGGGATATGCAGTTAGTGTCGTCTATGCAGGTTTTACGTTCGCTTCAGCTCCTTATCATAACGTGGCCCCTACAGATGTGCGCAGGCAAGTTGCAATCCAAGGAGGAAATCTAGCATCGCGACCTAAAATAACCTTATTGATTTCACTACATAGCTATTGTAGTATTTGCTGCTGAAGTCACCGAAATATATCCTTCTAACTGACCAATGATTTCGCCGATCACCCCACAAGTCAACATCAATTGTTTTATTCAACTCAAAGGGTTGAGGCTACCGATTGCCGTTTTAACGGACACAGTCGGTCATGCAGGTTTAGGTGTAGTCCCTTATTTTATCATGATAATTTAGGTGGAAACACTTGGGTTCACCCCTTTCTCTCTTTCTCTCGGAGAGCTGAGTTTGTTAACATTACCACACCCACGTCGGATAAGTGAAGAAAAAAGCGACTTGAAATGAGGAAGAAAGGCTTTGAGCTCCTGGGTTTTCGGCAGTGGGAGTCGAGACTTCTTATTCTGATAATAATCGACCTACAGTACATCAAGAAATGCTGGCTAAACAGCGTTAAAACCTTCGTAGTGGAGGAATTACTTACCTCATAACGCCACCTAACCAGTATCTCCCAGTATGTTGAACGTCGATCAATGGCAAAGTAAGAATTACAGCTCTCAACAAAAAAGGCAACGCAAATGCCAAGGCTGCACTGCCAAACATACGTGCGAGCAAGAATGCTTGCTATTTTGCCGCAGCAAAATATCCTCTAGTCTCAATGTAGCCTTAGTGCTTATGTCAAAACGTTATATTAACGTATTACGGTGTGGCTGTATTGTCAATTGGTGGCATCATGGGTGTATTTTCGGCAGATTGAACCTGCAGCGAGCCATTACGCAACTTAAATGTCGTTACTCCACTTTTCGGCTTAAAACGATTTTTGGTAGTGCAAATATTTACTACGCAAAGCCATGTAATTCGCTTCTACTCATGATACAAATAACGCATCCACTCATAATAAAAAATACGTAATTGTGGAGAACGGACAAGGAAGAGCTACAAATCAGTAAAGTCTGAGATCTGAGATCTGGGATAACGTCAACAAGACACAATCATAAAAACATTTCATAACTCAAATTACACCGAGACAAAGTGGTATATTCGTCATGGTAAACGTTTCAAAAAGCTCAACAATCCGCTGTTATTGGACAGCATCGTCAGTTTATGGTGCAACATGACGAAACCCGCACGAATGCAGCAGAATTGTCGGATTTTTGACACATTGAGAAGGATATATCCATCCATCCCGGGACATCATAATATAGACAATATTACTAACTGCAAAAAGATGTGCATTTCTACGAAATTGGTTAACAGTGATCAAGAACGGCATAAGAATTGCAAGTGTGCTGTCCAAGAATGCCTCCGACCAAGCCGGGTTAAACCATGCCTCAGTTAGCTACCAACAACGGGTTGCAGAAAACACCGCCCATCTACAGAACTCACACTCTTGGACAGTGTACCAGGCTACTTCCGGGTTCTCGCAGTGCACGCACGGAACGTGGGACCATATATAAAAGGCATGCCATAGTTCTTAGGTGCTCTGCCTCTCGCTTGCACCCTCATACCAACTAAGGAAGTATACAGTCCAATGCCTGCGTCTAAACACGTAAGTAGGGTTGGCTAAACCGTATAAGTCGTACCAAACAGACACACGTTTAAAATGAACGCATACCAAGAGACAATGTAACGCCACCAGTGCATGCCCGTGGAAACATGGTACGGCGAAATGCACGGTGTAAATTTCAACGTTCTGCCCTTACCTGATCCTGGACACAGCAGCGAGGCATAGATAGTGATATTAGCAAAAAGCTATCATTTTACTTTGGAACGCTACGCTGTACACACTAAGGGCAGTTAGGCTTTTAGGATGTCGTCTTTGAAAATGCTTGCAATCAGCATGGGCATTGCTTAGTCGTCGATCCCTGCAAGTCACAAGTGTCTTTGTGGGGACCGACAGTCCAATGGAACGTGCCAATGCCCGCCGTAAGGTGCAGAACGTCCAGGTGATATTGTGCACAGACTGAAATGAAAAGTGTCTTTACAGGCTCTCTCTCTCTCTCTCTCTCTCTCTCTCTCTCTCTCTCTCTCTCTCTCTCTCTCTCTCTCTCTCTCTCTCTCTCTCTCTCTCTCTCTCTCTCTCTCTCTCTCTCTCTCTCTCTCTCTCTCTCTTTTTCCCCCACTTCTTTTACTTCCCTCTTTCCTTGCTCTGTTATTTTTTTCTCTCCATGCTTGAAGAATGGGAGGGCCTTCAACTGCGTTCATTAAGCTTCTTGCAGCGTCTGTTTTCAGACCGCTTACTATCTAATAAAGGCCTGAATGTCTACGGATCGATACGAAAACTGGCTGGTAAGCTGTAGGAGTTTCCGCTGGCGTGGACCTCGCATTGCGCCTTTGCTAATGATTACGACAGCACGCCTGCTCACAGACAGATGGTGACCTGGCGCGTACGACAGCACACCTGGGCACGTACAGAAAGTGACGGGACGTTTACGACAGCACACCTGGCTCTTGAGTTCAGCGATACCACCTCGCGTCAACTAATGCCGATGGCCTTCCACCACCGCGACCTCCTAAATCATGACGAGGGGTGCTCAAGCCGCTGAGCCCTGATAGGTTCAGACATTGAGCTAGGATGCGTGGAAGGGTTGGCTATGCAGTGGACCTGCTAAAGCACCGAATGTGAACCAGCTGGAGGAGCTGATGACCCGAAGAAGTGATGACCTGACCGAAGGCCTGGCAACGGACCTGGCGCGGGAGCTAATAAAGAACCTTAAAGAACCTGTAGAGGAGCCTGCTGAAAGCACCTGTTGGTGAGCGCCTGTTGGTGTGGACAAAGCACCTGTTGGTGTGGACAAAGCTGTGTGCAACACTTAGTCCTGAAGGGAAGACGGCATGTAGAATATAACCAGGGACCCGGACGAAAACCTGCTGAAACAGATAGCAGCGCGCCTGGACTAGTGTCGGAATCTTTTGAAGAGCCTGGAAAAGAACCGAGTGAGTACCTCGCCATCAAAAGCTGGAACACTTGGCGAAGGATTCAACAGGTGACCACATGGAGGAATATGTGTACCTGTCACCACATAACCGCAGTTACAGCACACAAACCGGCGATAAACCCGCTGGAGGACCTGCCTGTCGGGCTACCGGACATCCTGCTGGAGGAGCTGCTGGACGACTTGCTTACCCGCTCTAGGCCGCTGTTGTCGGCGTTCCAGCAGATGACGGGAAGCCCGAGGTAGCCGGCCAGCTGGATGAAGTACTGGCTGGAGGCCGTGCTCCTGCCATATCGCTCCGAGTTGGTCAGGTAGAAGATGGCCGTGACGTTGTTGGGCAAGAACTTGTCGCACAACGTCTCCAAGATGGCTGAAACGTAGTGATGAGTAAAATTTATGGAAAACATGACGACAAGAGAGCAACGACAAGAACGCGTGAAGAACAGGAAGAAAGCACTGGCAACAGGCACTGCCGTCTGTTAACGGAGGAGAGTATTCGCCAATCTAAAATGAAATAGAAAAGGCAATGATGTGACAGTGAATACGCAGTGGACGTACCACTTGCAGCGGCAGTATTATGTACAGTTGTTAATAATTGTTGTCCTGCACTGCTGTGAATTATCGTTCCTTCTCAACGACATCGGTTTGCGCTTTTGCCACTGCTACCAAGTACAGAGGCAGGCTCTGTTTCCTTCCAAGGTTTATCCTGGAGTCAATGAAGAGGAAATGCGAAAGGGTTAAGAAACAGGGAGCAGGCTCGGTTGCGTTGAAATGCATTTAATTTCCGATGAAACCAAAGCGCTGTCTTGCCAGATTCGCTAATGGGCGACAACGCACGGTATACGCAGGAACGGCGAATGAAACAACACTAACCCGAGCACCGCTTCTCTAAGCATGAAATGAATGTCACATGGGTCGAGAAAGAGCGCTCACCACAGGGATTTACGGTAGCCTCTGGTCTAGAGCTGCATCTCCTTGTGGCGTTCGCCTGGCAGTGAATCAAACGTACGAGGGTAAGTCACGGTGTGAGCAGGTGAGCAGGTGAGCAAGATCAGCTTCGTAGGCAGCGATGCTGAACGACTGCGGTTGACCGCGGGAAGCTGTGCTAGAGCGATCTGCAGGCGAGAGTCACGTATCTCACGTCCTAAATGCGAAGTCGGTCGGCACCAGGCTATCCGTCTATGGCGAGGCCTGATACGACGCACAGAAGTCTTCGTTGACGAGACGACGCATTCCGGAGGCACCAAAGCACAAGCTCCAGCCCGGTTCATCTAGCCCACACAATCAGACTTTCAATGAATAATTCAACGTCGCGAGCTGAAATACCGGCAAGCCCCGTAACTTCCCGGAAATATTGAGACAGTTATTCACGGCTGGCCGGCCATCCGACCTGCGCTCCAACTATCTCACAGTTTTGTCTCCAGTTCCAACGTAGCAGTCCACTTTGGTTAACGCAAGCTGGTGGGCCTCTCTGGTTTCGCAAAACTCCGTCCGCCGAATCTCAGAACCCACGAGCAGGCCCAATGTATTCGGTATTCGGGGACGTAAGTGGGTGAGTTCGAAAAATGCGTCTTCTAAGTCGAGATAAGAGGGCGCTCAACCATCGCTCGTTACCACTGCCAACTGGCAAAATTGAAAATTTACATAATCTCCATGCAGCGAATGATGATCTTTGCGTGTTAGGACCAGTGGGGCCCTGGGTCGTTTCCACCCACGTGGGAGCCCGACGGTGGCCAAGCGTGGCGAAATGACGCAGCTGATGCTTCTTTATCAACTGTCACGGCGGCGGGAGCGCGGCAAACGACAGCAATAATGGTGATGGCAAAACCCTCCGTTCGAGGAAAATATTACTGTAAATATTACTATGCACACGCTGTAGAGCAATGTTTTGCAAACTTTTCAGGCTCACTTCCCCTGAGGCTAGTCCGAATAGCTTTTGCGCCGACCAAAACAAGAAAACTCAATTGGCTTAAGCCTTGCGCATTTTCCGTACTGGGTCTTTCTACGCCAACTCAGCCAATACAAGTGCAATTTTACTCCATCAGAGAAATGGATTAAACGCATTCTGCAAGATTATCTTGTGTTGTGATCACGATTCTGAAGTCTTAAAACTTTCGCGCCAGGCATTGGCAAGCAATGCTGGCGTCCGAAAGTGACGTAATGATGGAAATACCCGAATTAAAATGACGACAGCTCCGCAACCATAGCACATGTTTTTGGTCGGAAAGCGTCATTACGAAGGCGATAAAGGTTTCGAAAACATGAAACAAAGGAGAGGTGAAATCATCGAAACCATTGGTGTGTTCATTATCTCTTTCCACCACAATGTTTAATTTCCAAATTAAATACTGCGATTTATTAACACTCGCTTCGTCAGGGACTTCATTTTGAACGATCAGCTTTCAAGTCGCCATTCCGGAAACGATCCATCGAAAAGTGAGGACTTGCAAGACACTTGTGCAACGTGGACGCGACCATTTCGGCGCAGACTGGCGCGGACCGGTACAACGCGGCCACCGGGCATACCCCACACCCAAAGGCATCGGTCGTTGCGGCTTCGGCTTAACTAGTGGAGCGAGCACCGCCTGAACAGACGATCCCACGCGCGTAGCGATTTTAGGTGTTCTTGCGCTTCACAAGCCGGATTCGCGTTGGTTTATTGAACTTGAGGCATGGAGCGACCAATATATATGGCAAAAAGCAATAAAAATAGATATACCAACAGAGAATGAATGCGGCCTGAACGCGACCTGTCGCCAAAGGATTCATGGATGGCCAGAGTCCACTTCTGGGACTGGCATCGGTAAGTGACGGGAATCAGAACGAAACATGCACCCCGCTGGATTTTCTAGATGTGCTGCCTTCGGCCAGTGTGGCGTACGCCTTCATGGTCAATCCAAAGCTTATGGTTAGAGCAATTGACCATGTCGACACGATTGCGGACCTGACTACCGCTCAATAGAAAACGAATCGTACATGGTTGTGGAATGGGCCATTGTTCTGGAACATTATGAGCCCAAAGCTGCGAAGCCCACATTCACCGACCTTCAAGGTATCAAGAGGTGCTGGCGATACGGTGGCATCAAGCATTTGTGGTTTGTGTTGTCGATGTTGAGCATTAACAATGTACCCAATAATTTTCCGTACCAAGCATTGTCAATGTAATCAATGTTTGCTTAATAACTTCGTCTCGTCAGTAGCTCTGGCACATTGGAGGTCGATAGCTGTCAATATAAGAGCTCTGAACTCATAGCGCCGAAACGCCAGAAGTTCAGGGTCATTCTTGCTTACTTCAAGTGCCCTATAGTGCCACTTCTGAGAAAGTTTCTGCAAAGCATAGAAATTATGTATGACTCAGTTGGAATTGAGCATAAACGGCGGTTAACAACCGTCGGGACCTGCCTGACCAACGCCCACCAGAACGTTCGAAAATTTATTGACACCGTCACGGAATCCACTATGGCCGTGCTAGAGCACCAATGCATTACGCAGACCAAAGGAAGCGTCTTAAGTTGGCACAAACGAACCTTCCGCTGGACAAAAAGCTATTTTAGATGGTTTTCCCAAATATTGTTTGTTTAAGATAAAACTCACGTAAATTTGTTCAAGCGATTGTTCATCTGATAGTGACGAACATGTGTGTAGCCGGGTCTCTGCGGTGGTAGGTGGAGGGGCGATAAATTAGGATTTGATCGGGACAAACTGGGACCTGAGAATTGGATAGAAATATGGGGACCAACTGACCTGATAATGACAATTTAAATGGGAGCAAAATGCGCATTCTAAACAACATCGGGGGGGGGGGGGCGCAAAACAATTTTGGGATAATTGGGGAACACGTCACCACCGGCCTCGCGGTGGTTACACCCATGCGATGCACGCTCTTCCATAGAGGAAGGGGGAAGATATATTGTGCCATTAGCGACACCTTGCACCACAACCCGGAAGCCGGATATACTTTCCCGGGAGACGCTATAAAGCGTCTCAAAGGGAGTGTTCCACATTCATATGGAAATTTGAACTGAAATAGTCCTGTGGAAGACTTTTCGGAGCTGTTCATAATGATACCCTTCTTAAGCCCTAAGCCCCTCTTGTTTCTCGGCTGCACGTCCACGAAAATGGGACGAGAATATGGGAGAGAGTATTTCAAAGCCATCTCGGCATTGATGACATCATAATAACGGCATTCAGATCCTGCCACTCCGTAAGCCATGCGGCGATCAAGGCCAAGGAAAATATAATTGTCGAGGCGTTCATATCTGGCGTTGGTAAGCGCGATTTCCAGACATAAAGGTCGTCAACTGGCTCTTAACCAATGTGGTGATAGGTACGAGGACATAATCAAACCGTGACACATTGAAGGGCATATTTATTAAACAGAGAATTGTGCTGTCTGAAGCAGTCTGTTCCACTTAAAAGGTATAGTAAAAGTTACACGGAAGCTTGCTTCATTATATCTGATGCTTGCTTCAATATGCACAGATATGAGACATTCCCGTTAAGTCATACGACGGTAGAACTGAACGGAAGTTCATCTCTTCACTATCAGCTTTATCGCGCAATAAAAAGGACGTAAAAAGTGAGTAATTATACGCTGCACAAGATGGACTGTGATCTGGACTGCGGGGGGGGGGGGCATTTGCGTGCCAGACGTCCCGAGAAGGGACCTGCGACGGCGTTGGTGGGTCAGTAAAGCGTCCCACCGCAAGACCAAGCTGGCAGCGTTCAGATGCCGAGCGGGTCACCACACCAAGAGTTCTGTTTGACTACTTTGCGACCAGCACTGCGGGGTGTGTTCCACATTTGTATTGGGTTTTTAACTAAAATAGCCAGTTTGAAGATCGTTCAGTGCAGTTTAAAGCCCTGCCCTTCTTAAGACCTACAACCTTCTAGATCATGAGCCGTGTGCCGGCAAAAATATACAGCCTTCCTCGTGGAGACTATTTCAAGGCCATTCAGACACGCACGACGTCATAACAGGTCATTGAAGCCTTGCCACACCACAGGTCTGGCGGTGTTCAGAGCCAGGAAGAATATTATCGTCCAGCCGTTCAGATTTGGCGTCCGTGAGCACGATTTTCCAACATAGTGGACATCAATTGGCCCTCAATCAACGTTGAGCGCGCTGTGCAAACTTCAACCACAAGCACGTTTTGGCTACGTAATATGTAAAGTTGGACATGGTTTCTTCACGGGTTAGTTATTACGGGAATAAGACTTGTGATCGAACAACTTAAGAATTGCACCACAACCTAGTATGTGAAGACCAGTAAACATCTCAATCTCACCGATGAATATGCAAGAGCGGCACGAGAAAGGGCCAAAATACGAGCGCATAACAAAATTTAGCTTGGTACACACTCCCGGCAC